CTTCTCTCCTAGGGCTTTGTGGAAAGGACTGGATGAGAAACTACCAAAGTTAGAGATGTGAAGTATTGGGCCCAGAAACTTCTTTTCTTATTTTGTTTTCCTTTTTATGAGACAGGGTTTCACTCTGTTGCTTGTGCTGGGGTGCAGTGGTATCATCATGAGCAACCTCAAACTCCTGAGCTCAAGTGGCCTGCCTCAGTCTCCTGAGTAGCTGGGACTAAAGGAATGGGCCACCACACCCAGCTAGTTTTTACATTTTTTTGTAGAGAAGGAGTCTCACTGTGTTGCCCAAGTTGAGTATTGAACTCCTGGCCTCAAGAGATCTTTCTGCCTTGGCCTTCCAAAGTGCTAGGATTATGGGCATGAGCCACTACTCCTGGCCCAGAAACTTCTGTGAATCTCAGCACCTTGGTTACTTCTCTGCGTCAAAGTAACTTGGATCCTCCAGGTAGTAGTTGGATGTGCCATTCTTACTATAAACACAGAACCAGCCCTACTTATTTTGTGCAATAAAATGATGAGTTGTTTTTCAGTTGCCATGGACCCCCAGGTTGAAGGTCATGTAAGCTGAGCATGCCCAGATGAACCAAGCCTGCACCCATGGGTGGAACCTAAGTGCTTTCACCAAGGAATGCTGATCAAATTAAGAATCCAACACCTCATTGCATGATCCATGAGCCAATCAGATCAAGCCCAGCATCACCCCTCACAGCATGATCCAGTCATATCATGCCTCCCAGCATCACATCATTGCAAGATCCAATCAGATCAAGCCTTGTTACTCTCTTCCTACAAAACCTGCCCCCAGGCACCAGTTCAGGGAGATAGATCTGAATATTGCCAGTTGACTTGCAATAAAGCCTTTCTCTTCTCAAAACCTGGTGGCGCAGTATTGGTTTTATGTATATCAGAGAGAGAGCCCATTGCTTACTTCATAACAGTACAGATATAATTTCAAGCTGCAAAGCTTCTGATAGGTTTTGAATTTAAAATTAAAACAAACAAAAAATAAATAAGGATTGATAGATATATAAGAGATGAAGAGAGGGATGGATTATAATAAACTAAGAAAATTCAGTAAAATGTTACTTGTACAATCTAGGTCATGGGTGGGGAACCTGTGGTCCTAAGGCCACATGTGGCCTTCTAGATCCTTAAGTATGGCCTTTTGACTGAAACCAAATTTTACAGAATAAATCATTTTATTTGTATTAATACATTTTGGTTCACCTTTTATATTTTCATTTTATTTTTAAAGTGAACCTATTTAAACTACCAAATAATAAAATAAGTTTCAATGAAATAATCCTCCCAGACTGCCTGGCACAATTAGAAAATTAATAAGCTATTAGGGCTAAATTGATGGCTGCTATGCTCATAATTTAGTTCTAACTTCCCCGGCCTGACTGGGCATCAATACTGTAAGAGGCTGGTTGGCGAGAGTTTATGGGATTCAAGTACACCAATCTATTATCAGCTTTGACAATAGTGTGCTGTTTGAAGTGGAATTTGTGAATAGTTGCATAGCTTGACAGTATTTTTAATTTTGTTTGCTTAACAGCCTATCACATCAAAGAAGACCAAAAGAACAACGAAGGAAGAAAATGGATTTTTTAAATGATTGGGAATTGCAATATTATCTTGTTTCTGCTAATGATAAGATGATTTGCTTGCTTCATGATATTCCAATATCAACATTAAAGAAATTCAATGCTACTCAGCATTATAACACTCATAAAGACCACAAATATTTTAAGTTAGAGGAAGAGGCATAAAAGGTTGTATTGTAGAAATTAAAAGATGAAAAGCAAAAGCAAAGACAATTCTTTCAAGCAGCAATAAGACCTGGAAATAATGCCACTGAAGCAATATACCTCATATACTCAGGGATAAAAGGGAAGCTATTCCATGATGTAGAAATTGTGAAAGAATGCATTGTTAAAGTTGTAGGATGCTTAGACCCCAATAACATTTCAGAGTACAAACAACTGCCTCCTTCAAGGAGAACCATCACTGATTGGCATCATGAATTAAACTTCAAGTTAACAGAACAAATTCTTACAATACTTCAAAAGGAAAATATATATTATTCAATCACTTTGGATGAATCAACTGATGCTATTGACTCCACAAAGGGTTTATACTTCATGCCAGCAATAACAGAAGATTTTCTTTGCCAAAAAGTGTTACGTACTTTGGCCTTTCTTGTCAACAGAACACGGAGAATAGATAATTTCAACAACTTTCAGGATAAATGTCGTGAAGTTGGACTGAATTTGGTATATTTAGTCCAAATTTTGAGTGTATGTACAGACAGTGCAAATTCCATGCTGGGAAAACATGAAGGGTTTATTGTACAGATAAAAAAAAGTATTAACAGATCCAAATGCTTTCTTTTCATTGTATAAAATCTTACATCACCAAAATCTCTGTGCTAAAGGTACTATTTTAAGTGAAACTTTGCAAGACGTTGTAAGTATTGTTAACTGTATTCCCGCAAATGCAACACGGCATCATCAGTTTCCCAATATGCTAAAGTTGAACACTGAGGTATTCAGTGTGAATTTGCTGTATTGGTCTAAAGGGTGTTGGCTATCGCAGGGACAGGTGTTAACCAAAATGTTATCTCTGAGAGAATAGCTAGTTAAATTTTAAGAACAGAATCATCAATGTGAATTATTGAAAGAAGATTTCTATAGGAATGAAGCATTTCTGAGTGATATCATGTCAAATCAAAATGATTTGACTATTTCTTTGCAAGGTAAACTCAGTCTATGTATGATATGTGACAAAAAATGCAAGCATTTTTTAAAAAGCTATCTTTTTTCAAAATATTTCCATGAAAGGAAATTTTGGATGAACATTTTCCCCAGTTAGCAAAAGCCACTGATAAGCAGCATGATATATGTGAATCATTTGAAGAATATGCAGCTGTTACAGACCTATTAATTGAAGAATACAATGAAATGTTCACTGACTTTGAGAATCATGACATTACACTCAAATTAGCATTTCAGCTTCTAGTTGGTATCACCAAGGTACCTGATGAACTACAAATGGAATTGAATGAGCTCTCAGTAGAGGACATTTTAAAGTCATTGTTTGATGCTAAGAAAAATCCAATTGAAATATGGAAAAATGCAGTAGAATACCCACACCTTTGGCAACATGCCTGAAAAAAATGCTTTCTTGCTTTTCAGCCACTTAGTACTGTGAATCTACATTCTCCTACCTACCCCAAATGAAGAAACCCTTAAGGTCACAGATGATTGATACCCATCTAGAGGATCAACTGAAACTACCAACAGCCATGCTGCAACTAAATATTCAAATGCTTTCCAACAAAAGGAAGATATAACAATGTCATTAAAATGTTAGTTAACTTTAAAATTAATAAATATTTTCCAGTTTTGAAATTATTAGGTACATAGTAGTTAGATTTTTACAAAATAATGCACATTTTAAAGTATATCTAATTGAAGTTTCTTGAATGTGGCCTTATTTGATTGCAGCTAAATTAATGCAGCCTTCCAACTTGAAAAGTTTCCACACCCTTGATCTAGGTGGTAGATACATTGGTATTCACTAAAGATTCTTTCACCTTTACTATATGTTTGGAAAGTTTCATGACAAACTAGTGGGGACAGAGAGAAGGGAAGGGAGAATTGTGTTTCCTGCTGATAACAGAGGCCAAAAATATTATTGGCTAAAACAAGAGTTTATTTTCCTGTTATGTAAAATGAATTCAAACAGTGGCTGTCCAAGGCTAGTCTGGCAACTCATGAATGTCATCCATGCCCCAGCCTACTCTGTCTTCATTCTCTACTGTCTCAGCACTTGGCTTCCATTCTCAAGGTTGTGGGGCACAAGGCAGCTGCTGCACCTTCATGTCCAAAGCCTATGTATTAGGCACAAGGAAGAAGGAAGTAGGGAGTAAGTGTCTCTCAGCTGTTTCAGTCTCCCCATTTAAGGGTATCTGGGACAAGCACAATGCTACAACATTACCTACAAAACATTGGTTCAAACGTAGTCCCTTAATTTTGTCTCTCTACATAGGGACGAGAACATTGCAGTACACAAGAAAATTAAGCCTTATTACTAAGAAAAAGTGGGGAATGAATATTACACAAATGACCAGCCAACTTAACCATAGAGCCTAAATTCAAACTGTTGTGATATAATCAGATTCCATCAGTCCAGATCACATCTAAGCCCTAGGAGCTTTGAGGACTGTATCACCATCTTGCAAACCAAATAAAGTGTCTTGTGAGGTCTTAGGCCACAGGAGGAACCAGTTTGTCACACAGATCTCATACACAGACAGCATTCACAGCCTAGCTGGAGTCTAACCTCAATGAATACACTGGCAGAGTGAGAAACAAATACACATGAAAATACAATATAGCACCAACAAGGAGCTTAGGGTGAATGAAAATACTCAGAAAGAGTTGCAGTAAGAATTTCCTGAAATATGTAAAACATGCCAAGCAGCACTGACTCTGGAAACCAGAAAATTATGATATTTGGTAATGGATCCTAGACCTGGATGCCAGAGGTGCTTAAAATGGTGCAGTGTGTCTGGTTTTCTTTTCATTCTTACTTTCAGTAGGCGCTGTAGTAAGAGATCCTCCTCCTCCATGTACCCATCTACCTGCAAACAAATGTTAGTAAATATCACAGTAGCATTTTAATTAATGCACATTGTTCTCTGTTCTCACATTAAAATCTTTTTACTTTTCTATTCCATTCTGATCAATTTCTATTATGTGTTAAAAGGCATAAGAAGAAGGTATAAAAGAATATGAATAAATACTTACATATATACACACACAAGAATGATTTAAATAGGTAAAGACCAAGAAACACAAACACTAAAGGAGGTAGGGCCTGGAATTTTTCTTCAATGGGAACAATTCAATATAGTTTCAGTTTTCATTCTAACCTTCCCCAATGGTTTCTACCTAGCAACTGGTGAGATACTCCACCTCTGAGCCAATCAAAATACTAATTCTTCCAAAGACAGACTCTTGCTGTTTCTCACAGGAGTGAGCAGTTTCTGCTTCCTTTCTTTCTTTTTCTTTTCTTCCAGATAAGAGCCTCTTAACCATAATAGAAAGGATGGAGGACTATTAATCACCTTTATTCTGTGGGCTGTGATCCTCAGATGAGAATACCAAGGGGTAAGTGAGGAAAAATGATCAGAGCCAGGGCTACAGGGCCTGGGAGGAGAAGGGGGGCTGACAAGCTGAGAGCAAGCATGCAGGAAGTACCCAGACAGAGAAAAGGGTGAGGAGCTTGTATGTGTGTGTGTGTGTGCGCACGCACACACACGCCACATATGGGAGCATGCTGGGAAGGGTGGAGTAGTAGTGCAAAGAATGAGGATTTACAGAGGTTGGGATTTGGTGGATTGAAAGAGAGACATCCTGAGTGAAGAAAAATTCCAACTGCATATTCTTAAGAATGTATCATGGTCAGAAAGGAGCAAAGTACCCTTAAAGTCTATTCTGGCCAAGACAAGGCATCTATTCAAAGAGGTTGTAAAAAGAAATATGCCCTAAAGATTTATATATAAATGTGTGCATTTCAGAACTGTTTATTGTATAGAAAAATCTGAACCAACATACATATACAACAGGTGGAATGTGGATAAACAATGCATAGTTCACTCATTAAAAGAGATTTCCATGCAGCCATAAGAAATTCAGTTTATAATGAAGATTGATTATTTATAATTTTAACAAAATTGAATCCATACATTATAATTTGTTTAGTATCTTTTAGGGGCTATTATCTGTTTTTCTTTCTATTCTCCATTTCCTCAAAACATAAACTATCTTTTCCATTATTTACTTAACCATTTCTTTATTTGGGATGTTTTAGTTGCAGCTACATTTTGCTATTATTGATTTTACCATGTTCAGTAGCCTAAACTTTGAGTTAATTTCTGATTTTTATTTCTTCAACAGTAATTTGTATAAATGGAATTTTTGGCTCAAAGAATACCTTGTTAATGCCCTTGCAGAAAAATTTACATTGGCAATAGTAAAATATATGATTACCACTACATACAATTTAAAATTTTATTCCCTAATTGTCTATAATCATGAAAAAGAAAAATAAATATTCTAAAAAATACAACAACAACTAATTTCTCACTCTGAAGACAGCACAGAAATTGTTAGGTCAAGGACTAACAATAACAACAACAATAATAATAATCTCCCCCAACCCTAGCAGCATAAAGAGCAGTTTTGAGGGGCAGAAGATGTAGTGAAATGCAATATTTATTCCAAGGGTGAGTGCGAGTCCCAGTCAGGGTGGAAGGACAGCCAGCTACACAGACCCTGTCCCTTGCCGCCTCCTCACCCCTCCCCACACCTCTTGCAGACCTTGTTCTCAGAGGCAATTGCCAGACCCAGGTACCCCCAGCAGCAGGTACCATGACTGTGGGCTTCATGCTTCTTCCTTTTGGGGAAACTGTTGAGGAGTTAGTATTTACTGAGCACCTAATAATAAGTTCCATTCACTAAAATTACACATAACAATAATTATTAAATAGTATATGAAATTTTTAAAATTTAAAGCGTTAATATAGTTTTGAAAGTAATAAGAACAGAAGGCCAAAGTGTCCTTTTACTTGCTAAACCTCCAGTCTTCAGTTTAGCATGCATCTTTTTAGACCTTGAGACATTTACGTATACAAGTATGTACAGATCTGTAGCTTTGCTTTTGTTTTTAAATAGAATCAGATGAAAATGGCAAGTGACCTGGACTTCTTCCTGCTCGACTTTCTTGCCTGCCTTGTCTTGGTCCAGCTGCTCACGCCTTGCTCAGGTAGGTATAATTCTGTTTTTATTTATTTTTTTTTTTTGAGACAGAGTCTCACTTTGTTGCCCAGGCTAGAGTGAGTGCCGTGGCGTCAGCCTGGCTCACAGCAACCTCAATCTCCAGGGCTCAGCGATCCTACTGCCTCAGCCTCCCGAGTAGCTGGGACTACAGGCATGCGCCACCATGCCCAGCTAATTTTTTGTATATATATTTTTAGTTGGTCAATTAATTTATTTCTATTTTTGGTAGAGACGGGGTCTCGCTCAGGCTGGTTTCGAACTCCTGACCTTGAGCAATCCGCCTGCCTCGGCCTCCCAAAGTGCTAGGATTACAGGCGTGAGCCACCACGCCCGGCTAATTCTGTTTTTATCTGTGTGAAGCAGACAATTACCTACTAATGCCCACTTAGATCCTTTGAGTCCTTCCATACATGGAAGTTCCACCCCAAACCGAAGTTCACATGCCATTAAGAGACAAATGGCACTTCTGTTAGGATCCTGTTCCTCTCTAGGTTCTTTATACCTCTCCTTCCCTGCCAAGGAGAAACCTTACTCTGATGGCTCCATGGCCAACACCCTCTGATGGTGCTTTTCCCCTTTGCTGACCAGCTCAGTTTGCCGTACATGGACCCCCTGGGCCCATCCTGGCCATGGTAGGTGAAGACGCTGATCTGCCCTGTCACCTGTCCCCGACAATGAGCGCAGAGACCATGGAGCTGAGGTGGGTGAGATCCAGCCTTAGGCAGGTAGTGGCCGTGTATGCCGGTGGAAAGGAAGTGGAAGACAAACAGACCCCAGAGTATCGCGGGAGAACTTCCGTTCTACGAGACCACATCACTGCAGGGAAGGCTGCTCTCCGAATACACAATGTCAGAGCCTCTGACAGTGGAAACTACCTGTGTTATTTCCAAGATGGCAACTTCTATGAAAAAGCCATCGTGGAGCTGAAGGTAGCAGGTGAGCCCCCGGGTTTTGCTCTGAGGTTGTTCCTCTATGGGACTTGGGCAAGAGTTCCTGCCTCAAATCCAGTGCAGAGCACTGCTGGCTGCCCCCTGGGAATTGCCTGCACTGTCTTCCTACTCAGCTGCTCTGAGACCCTTGAAAAAGGCATAGGTTTTCCCTTGGGAAGAATTCCTTCTGTCCCCTACGGTCTCAAGTGAAAAATACCCTCCTCTCTCCAGCCCCCAGGGATCTAAGAAGGGAAACAAAAGACAGGGGATGGGAAGGAAAATAATTCATCTCTTCAGTGACACGTACACAGTTACTTTGCTTTGGTTTAGTTGTGTACCGGATGGCGTCTGTGGCCTCAGCAGGTGCACCGACCGTGGGCCCTGGGAGACTGAGCATAGGGGCTGCATCTGCTGCTAGTGTTCTCCAGCCAGTGACCCCCAGGAAGGAGACATCCAAGGAGCTGCAGTGGAAAGAGCTGTGTTTATTACTAGTTGCAGCAAGGAAGAGCACACACCATGGAGAACTGTGGGGCGCCTCAGTCAGAAGGTGTTAGAGAAGACTTAGCATAGAAATTGGGCTTGTGTTAGGGGATTTGGGAGGGTCTGCAGAAGTGGGCTTCAGCTCTTTACTAGATGCTATCAGGAAGATGGGAGGGGGGTTAATCTTGTGAGTGGGAACTTTAATCAATCTTTTGTAGGAAGGAGTCTAGGGCCAGACTAAAGATCTAATTGGTAAAAGAGCAGCAGTCCCTTATTGCCAGTGTCGGGTGCTTGGCTATTGTTGTAGTTTGGGCAATGTTCATATTTCTCTCTGATCAGAGATAGCTCCCTCTTTTCCTGTTTTTGGGTTAGGGGTGAGTGGTAATAGCCCCACTGTTTCTGGCCCTGGGGCACTGCACTAGCCCACGTAGCTTTTCCCCTCACTGTGACCACACTATTGCAAACAGCTCCTGAGTGAAATCCTCCTTGAATGGTCTAATGTGAGTGTGTTGTTGATTCTTGTGAGACTCTCCCTGATGCGGAGGCTCCACAAATTTAGACTGATTATCCTTCCACAGCACTGGGTGCTGATCTTCACTTGGAAATGAAGGGTTATGAGGATGGAGGGATCCATCTAGTCAATCACCCCTGGTACCCAGCCCACACTCCAGTGGAGAGATGCCAAAGGGAGGTCATCCCAGCTGTGGCAGCACCTGTGCAGACAAAGTCCTGTATGCAATGGCACGCCAGTGATCATGAGAGGAAGCCTCCGGGAGGGGTATCCTGTACCATCAGAAATTCCTCCTCCAGCAGGAAAAGACAGCCAGGATTTCCGTCGCAGGGTCGGTACCCTGCTTCCCTGTGCTGAGCTGAGCTGAGCTATGGCTATTGAAAGTGGGGCAATTGTGAGTCTCCGCTGTGAGTCTCTGCAGTGAATGTAAGGCCTGAAGCAGGGACCTGGAGCCTTCTCCTTGCTTTGGGGGAGCTTGTCTCCCCATGAAGCTGTTCATGCCACAAATATTTACTGAACATTTTCTGTCTGCCAGAAACCGTGGCAGGTAATTGGAATTGGAGGAAAATGGTCAAGATAAGATCTTTAACAAAGTTAAATGACAAATGGAAAAACACACATAATTATAGACTCATATCATAAACAACCAATTCCATAAAATATAAAGGAGATTTAAAACATCTAGTAAAAACATTAACAAAGAGTATGAATTATTAGTTCACAGAAAAGGACATAAACATGCAAAACAGTGCTCATTTTCACTTATTAGAGAAATGTATATTAAAGCATTTTTATGACATTGGCAAAAATAAAACAGGTAATTGATAACACATCTGATGGCAGGATCAGGGAGGCAGTAACTCTCAGGCATTTGCTGTGTCATTTCTTTATTCTTGTATATATAAGCAGAATCTCTATTGGGGCTATAGAGCAATATCTATTCACACCACATATTTATTGATACAGAAGTCCACTTCTGGGGATTTATCTGACCAGATAAGCTTACATTTGTGAGAGATGATCCATGTAAAAAGCTATTTTGTACAGCACTTATTATGATTGCACAAGGTTAGAAACTATACAAATGTTCACCCGATACCGAAATTCCATACAAGGAAAGATCACACAGCTGTGAAAGAAACAGAAATAATTCTCTCCATACTAATATGGAAAGATCTCCAAAACACACTCTTCAAAGAGAGAGCAAGAATTCACACTGTGTATAGAATGCTATCTTTAGTATAAATAAGAGGCAAATAAGAATACATTTGTATTTATATTTAACAAGCAATTGTATACACTCCTATAGTGGGCACTTTATAAGCATTAATTCAATCTTCCTAACCTCAGGAGGTAGGTGTGTCATTTACCCAGTTTTAGATATTAGGGCACTAGGAACAGAGACGTTAAAGAATTATCCGCAGGGTCA